GGAGGGAATAAGAAGGGGGGATAAGAAGAGGGGGGGAATAAAAAGAGGGAAGGGGGGAATAAAAAGAGGGGAATAAGAAGAGGGAAGGGGGGGAATAAAAAGAGGGGAGGAGGGGAATAAAAAGAGGGGAGGGGGGTAAGAAGAAGAAGGGGTTAGTAAGAAAAAGATGGAGTAAGAAGAGGAGGGAGTAAGAAAAAGAGGGGGAATAAGAAAAGGGGGAGGGGAAGAAGAGGGGAGGGGAATAAGAAGAGGGGAGGGGGGAATAAGAAGAGGGGGACAAGAAGAGGGAGGGGGAATAAGAAGAGGGGAGGGGGGAATAAGAAGAGGGGGAATAAAAAGAGGGGGGGAATAAGAAGAGGGGAGGGAGGGGAATAAGAAAAGGGGAGGGAGGGGAATAAGAAGAAGGGGAGGGAGGGGAATAATAAGAAGGGGCAGCTCTATAGGACAGGGGCCAAGACAGGGAGCTCTTTCACACTACGCGCGCACACACACACAATGCATCCCTATACATACACAGAAACACAACATGCTTCCCTTACACACAGAGAAACACACAATGCATCCATTACACACACACAATGCAACCCTTACACACAAAGACAATCCATCCTTTGCACACATACACAGAAACAGACAATGCAAACCCGTACACACGCATGCAAACACACACACTTCTTTTCTTACATACACACAGAAACACAATGCATCTCATGCACACACATACAGACACACACCTTGCATCCCTTATGCATACAAACACAGATTCACACAATGCATCCCTTACACACAACCAGAAACACATAATACATCCCTTATACACAAATACACACTGCTTCCACTACACACAAACACACTGCATCACCTGCACAAACTGGTAACCCTAAACACTACATACCATAAGCACACATATTAGATCCTCTACAATAACACATAACATCCCCTACACACTCCACTCCCTGTGAGCGAACTCATGGGTGGGTGGAACTTATGAGTGGGCCTTATGGGCATACTCACCGTCAGGCCCTGGGGCCCAGACCTTGAGCTGTGTAAGGGGCCCCAAAAAAATTGAGCTGCTTCCAATTCTCCCAGAACATTGAATTTTGTGACCACAGTTGCAAACAGCCTCCAGAGATCCTGTTCTACACCAGACCAGTGGAGCCAAACTGCAACCCATCATCATCCTCATCTGCTTGTAAGTAGGCAATCTAGTATATTATTAGTGACACTAATCTATAATTTACCTCACATTAAAGGGACACTATAGCTTAATGAAGTGGTTCTGGTGTCTATAGCTGGTCCCTGCAGGCTTTTAATGTAAACACACACTGTGTGCAGCACTGGCGTTAGTTCATATGGCAGATCATATGGGTGGGGCATTGTGATGTGACATGTGGGGGCAGCAAATTTTTATTTTGTCTAGGGCGGCAAAAATCCTTGCACCGGCTCTGATCCTGGGCAGGTGCACCAGTCTATTTGACTGGTTTTGCCCCCCAGGCCTAAGGCTGCCAGCCCTCCCCTGGCCGCTGGGGAGGTCTTTTGGCGGCCGCTGGCGGACTTGTCCTGGCGGCCGCTGAGGGAGCTGCGCGAGCTGCGCTGCCTCTGCTCCCCAGCACGCAGCTGAATGAGACTGGCGCCGGAATATGACGTCATATTCCGGCGCCATTCTCATTCAGCAGCGCGCGAGGGCGGGAGGGCACTAACACAGGAAGCACCTCTAGTGACCGTCTGAGTGACTGTCACTAGCAGTGTCACTTTGAAGCAATGTAAACTCTGCCTTTTGTCTGAAAAGTCAGTGTTTACGTTGAAAAGCCTGTAGGGACATGCTATAGACAACAGTACCACCACATTAAGCTGTGTGTGTGTGTATCAATGAGCTTGTGTGTGTCACTGAAATGTCAGTGAAATTGCCTGTGTCTGCATGTGCGTATGCTTACTGTATAATTAAACGTTTTACCCTGAAAGGACCAATATTTTATATTAGAAAAAGCAATATATATATATATATATATATATATATTACTCAATCAACTGTCCTGGCAAGACATAGCCTTACATATTACACGCGACAATATATGGCGCAGTGACTTATGGGGCTGGCACAAATTTTTTTCCAGGGCTGCTTTGTATCCCCAGTCCGGCCCTGCTCACATTTAAGAAACAAACCCTTTACATTACATAGTGAACAAAGAAAAAAGAGGAAACCGCGCCCTTATTATGATACGTAAATACGTACTCAAGTCCTTATGGTCGAATACTTGCAATGATGTACCTCAAAAAGAAAAAAGAGATATACAAATAATAGTGTAGCACTGTTAGTATTCCGTAAGTGAACAAGAAGTAAATAGATGTACACTCACATATGCCAGAGCTAGAAACAGAGCTCTACTGTTCATGCGCATAGACGGAACAATCCCCGTCTTAGGATAAATGTAGAGTGGTCCACGTCTTGGAGGTCTCAAATAAAGAACATACAGATAGGCAAGGGGATCCACATAGTATAGTATGTATTAGAATCACTTAAGATGATAAATAAAATGTAAAGTATCGTACTCACATTTGCTAGAGCGTGCCTCGCTCTAGTTTATAGCGTATAGGTGGTATAATCCCCACCAAGGGATAAAATGGTAACCAGGAAAAAAGTATGTATAGTAATGGATGTCTCAGAGTGATAAAAATATATATAAAATAATAACTGTTTATTATACATAAAAAGTAATAAAAACAAATGAGGAACACTCAGTGAGAAAGTCCATAAAAAATCCACTTTACGCGTTTCACCTGTAGAGGCTTCTTCTGACTCAGTGAAGAAGCCTCTACAGGTGAAACGCGTAAAGTGGATTTTTTATGGACTTTCTCACTGAGTGTTCCTCATTTGTTTTTATTACTTTTTATGTATAATAAACAGTTATTATTTTATATATATTTTTATCACTCTGAGACATCCATTACTATACATACTTTTTTCCTGGTTACCATTTTATCCCTTGGTGGGGATTATACCACCTATATGCTATAAACTAGAGCGAGGCACGCTCTAGCAAATGTGAGTACGATACTTGACATTTTATTTATTATCTTAAGTGATTTTAATACATACTATACTATGTGGATCCCCTTGCCTATCTGTATGTTCTTTATTTGAGACCTCCAAGACGTGGACCACTCTACATTTATCCTAAGACGGGGATTGTTCCGTCTATGCGCATGAACAGTAGAGCTCTGCTTCTAGCTCTGGCATATGTGAATGTACATCTATTTACTTCTTGTTCACTTACGGAATACTAACAGTGCTACACTATTATTTGTATATCTCTTTTTTTCTTTTTGAGGTACATCATTGCAAGTATTCGACCATAAGGACTTGAGTACGTATTTACGTATCATAATAAGGGCGCGGTTTCCTCTTTTTTCTTTGTTCACTATTGTTTTGTCACAAGGTAGGGAATCCTTGTGTGGTTACTGCTGCCCACTTCCTATTTCTTCTATTGCTATAGTGAGCGCCTAATTTATCTTTATCCCTTTACATTACATACCTTTCACCCCAAAAGAAGCGGACGCTGGTGGAGGGGTGGGAAGGGGAGGGCAGTGATGTCATTGCAGACGTGTCAGTAATTCATGTAAGGCAAGCCCACTAAGCAGTTTCAGTGAACCCTGGACAGTCCTAGTGCCCTAAACGTAGGCAAATGATGCTCTCGGTCAGTGCTTGTTGTGACAGCTTCCAATATCGGGAAATCAGTGAACGAATTCAGGACAACTGGATAGGTTCCAAAGATTGTGATTAGTTGGCCTGACATTAATACTAGGTTTAACTCCTCCTATTAAACACACCATGTACCCCAATACTAAATTTAACTGCACTCTAAGCCTAAATCTAATAATTCTAAATTTCTCTAAAGTGTTTAATTCACTTAAAATTAAACACCCTGTGATCTAACTCTGCCTTTAACCCCTCTCTAACTAGTGATGTCGCGAAACAGAACTTGCCGCGAACTGTTCGCTGCGGTTCACGGCGAACTCCGGTCAGCTGACACATCCCTGCCAATCTCCGGCAGACCCTCCCTCCCAGACCCTCCTACTTCTTGGACAGCATCCATGTTGAAGGCAGCTTCAACATGGATGCTGTCCAGGAGGTGGGAGGGACTGGGAGGGAGGGTCTGCCGGAGATTGGCAGGGATGTGTCAGCTGACCGGAGTTCGCCGCGAACGGTTCATGGCGAACCGTGGCGAACCGTTCGCGGCAAGTTTGCGAACGGTTTGCGACATCACTATCTCTAACCTTAAACCCCCTCTTCACCATAACCACTTATAACATTATCGTTAACCCTGCATGCATAGTGAATAGTGCGATACCAGGGTGGCCTTGAAAGATCTAAATTAATAGATAAAGATAAAACCTTCAATAATCAAGGCAATAGGGGGATATTTTCCCAGAAAAGCGCCAGTGTCTGTACATTGCCAGCCCAGACATTAAACAATCTCCACTCTCGATG